TAACTGACAGGGGTGGAATTGAGATTTTATGCCTTAACCACTACATGCAAATAGACTTCTCTCTCCTTAACTCTAGCTTGGTCTCATGTCCATTTCTACTATAAATACCTTAATTCATTATTATTTTATCAAGAAGGGTAAGAGCACTTACTCAGGACAGCTACTTCATCCACATAACAACAGAGCCCACAGTGCTGGTCTCAGCAGCAGCGCTGGTCTGATGAACTTACCAGCAGCCATCCACACATTTCCACTGCCTCACTGTGGTCCAGCCACCATCCTCTTACCTACAGCATAACATCCATTCCTCCCTGACCTCACTGCTTTCTCTCCTCTCTTTTCAATCTACAATGCGTTCTCCCCCAGCAGCAGTGTGATCAACTTAATGTGTGAATACAGCCTTGTCACACTCCTCCTTCAAATGTTTCCATAGGTCTCTATCCATAATTAGAATGAATATATTGATAACTTAACTAGTATTATGCTGGCTGTTGTGAGATGAGTGGACTGTTAGGAGGTGACTGCAGTGGTGGAAGTGGAGGTAACTGGCTTGACTGGAAAATAATAGGGGGAGGGGATAAAGGGGAGATACATTGGGGGAAACCATTTGTTGTCCAGCTGATTCCAACTCATGACGAATTCAAGTCTGTCAGAGTACAATTGAAGACTATAGAGTTTTCAAAGTCTAGTTTTTCTGAAGCAGATTTCCAAGCCTTCCTCCTTAAACAGCTCTGGGTAGGTTCAAACGTCAAGGGATTTTTAAACCATTTGTACCTAGAGACATTCCACATTTGAGAAGTTTGGGGTTTGGTTTGTTTTTGTGTTGTGGTGTGTTTTTTCCCCCCATTCATATTGAGTTGAAACCAACTGATAGCTGTTTTCACAGGCTGTAAATCCTGCAGGAAGAAATTGCTCTTCTTTTTATCTCAGATTCACAGGTGGATTTGAACCACCTGCCTTTGAGTTGGCAGCACAACTAACTCCCTACCCATTAGGCCAGCAGAGATCCTAAGTGAAGTAAAATTCCAAAAATTTGTCTGTGACTTAGACAGCATGTTTTATTGAAATATTTAAAGCTTACCAAAACTCTTTGCAAAGATCACTGGTTTCTCTAGAGCATGATATTCAAAACCAATTGAAATGGAGCAAATATCTATTGACCATCTGGGGACATCAGGAACTGTCTAAGGGGTGCCCGATCCAGGCCGTAGTCTTTGCAATTACTTGCTCTGCATCAGAGAGTTGGACATAAGGATGACGAAAAAAGAACCAATGCCTTTGAGTTGGGTGCTGGAGAAGATTGTTTACCATGGACTGCCAAGAGAATAGACTGGTCTGTCTTGGAGAGGGTGAAACCAAGTTGCTCCTTGGAGGCAAGGAGTTTGAAGCTCTGTCTCACATACTTTGGGCACATGACCAGGAGTGACCAATCCTTGGAGAAAGACATCATGCTTGGAATGGTAGAGGGACAGCACAGGAAAGAAAAACTTCAAATGAGATGAATTGACATAGTAATTGGGGTAATAGGGCTTGGTGTGTCAGCAGCAGTGAGACTGGCTCAGGATAGGGCAGAGTTCAGAGCCATTCTGCATAGGGTCTCTATGAGTCACAGGCCACTCTACAGCACAGAACAACAAAAGCAGTACTCTTGGGAATTTAGAAAAGAGCAAAATAAGGTACCATTCCCCTAAGGGAAGTCATAGTCTGAGGTGGTTGTTGTTGTTAGTTGTATAACTTTGGTCCTATCTCCATGTTCATAGAGTTTCTGGAGGCAAGCCATTTAAGAAGTGGATGCCTCTCCTGCTTCCAAGCTTGTTTTAATCAGGAAGCTCCACCAAACACTGTCCACCATGGGTAACCATTATTGCATTTGACACATCAGTGTCACCATGTTTAGCATCATAGCAACCATGAGTTACCTCTGTATAGCAATGCACAGATCAGTGCTATACCACCTAGAAGAATGTTTGACAAAAAAACAATTTAAACCAGCCCTGAGGGCTGCAGATTCAAATCACCTACCTTGGGCTTGGTAGCATAACTTTCTGTCCACTAGGCCAGAGTAGCTCTCTCTATGTTGTTGTTATTGTTACAGTCTGATAGGAACAATAAATATGAAAACAAATAGATGATATCCGTATAATAATTTTAAGAGCAGAATTATCTTTAAAAGCCCAATAGACAAGGATTTAAACTCCGGAAAATAAACAATATCAAGATGAAGAGAGAAAAGATTCAAATTATTGTGTATTTTATTGCATTTTATAATCAATATGCATGGTAGCAGCACCCAAACACATCAAATGGCATATTGATTCAGGGAAGATCTTTTGCCAAGGACCTTTCTAAAGTGCTAAAGAGAAAAGATGTCAGTTTAAAAATTAAGGCATACCTGACACAAGCCAGGATATTTTCAGTTCCTTCCTATGCATGTGAAAGTCAGACACTAGGGAGACTGAAAAAGGTTTAAGTCCTCTGAAGTATAGTGAATACACCATGGACTGCCAAAGGACAAGCAAATCTGTCTTGAAAGCTGTGCACATGAGAGTTCATGTCATATACTTTGGGCATATTATTTGGAGAGGCCAGTTACTAGAGAAAGACATCATACTTGATGAAACTAGATAGTCAAGGAAAGAGAAGAAGGCCCTCAATGTGATAGATTGGTGCAATGGCTGCAGCAACGGGCTTAAGTACAACAGAGATTGTGAGCCAGGCACAGGATCAGGGAGTGTTTTGCAGCGTTGTATACAGTGTCCCCATGAGTCAGAGCCAACTCGATGGCACCGAAATATATCAACATTTATAGTTTTATACACACACACACACACACACACACACACACACACACAGTGACCTAGTGGTAAGACACTGAGCTATATAAATATAAATGTGTTTCATAACAATAACAATATGTAAGGAATATGGCAAGCCTTTTTTATAAAGTCTGTAAGGACGTGTGCTGGTAACTCAAAGGTGGCACCTTTCTAGCAGTTTGAATCTGTCAGCAGCTTAGTACAAGAAAGATGGGCAGTCTCCTCCTACACCATTTACATCCTCTGAACACTCACTGAAGAGTTATCTCTGAGCCAGTTTGGACTTGACGACAACGAGTTCAAAGTATATTTGTTCATGTTAAGTCAGTTTGAAGGAAAGCATCAAGCTAGTCATAATAAGTAATGGACAGACATATGGTTTTAATCATGAAATACAGATGGTCAGATTTATGTGACTATTTATGAGACCCATTGAAGTATTTCAACAGAGAAAAGAGATGATACAACGACATGACAAGATTTACCACTGATAGGACTCATCTCATGACCAAGAGGAGAATGGAAATCTGTCTGAAACCAATATTCTCTGTAGTTGTCCACAGGGGCAAATGGTGGTCTGCAAGTGAAAGAGTGGGCATGTGAACAAAAAAGACTGAGTCCATTGCAGAACTTTGCAGCGCCAGCTGCGCGTGGTAGTGAATGAATAAGAAAACATTAAGAGGACTATTGAGGTTTTGGCCAAAAGATAGGAGTCCAATCTTGCCTTCAGGAATTCCTGACAGGCACTGAAAGTTAAGTAGTTTAAATTTGTATTAATTGCCGTCTTCATCATGTTAAAAATAAACAAAACCTCTGATTCTAGGTGAAATGTTGTTGTTGTGTATCATAGTGTCAGAACCGACCCATTGCTGCCCCGGGCAGGTTTTCAGAGGCAAATTTTCACGGGGTGGAGATTGCCCATCCTTCTCCTGAAGAGCGGCTGATGGCCTCAAATTGCATGGCTGGAGGATTGCAGCACAGCTGCTTGCCACTAGGCCAATCAAGTTAGTTCAAGATACATGAGGAACCGTAATGGTACAATCATGAAGCACCCATCTGCTGACCCACCTGGTATGGACCCACCTGCTGACCCACCTGGTATGGACCCACCTGCTGACACACCTGGAATGCACCCACCTGCTGACACACCTGGAATGCACCCACCTGCTGCCCACACGAGAAGACAAGGCAGCCTGATCCTGTAATGATTTCCAGCCCGCATGATTACTGGGTGTATTTTAATAGGACCACATGTCTCCTGTGCTTGGTTCCATCAAGCCTGAATCATCTGTGTTTCTTCTTTAACCAATGCCAGCTCTCCATCCAGTAATCCCACAGGGGCAGTGGGATAAATCGTGAATGAATTAGTAATTCTGATCTCTAAATCACCAGAGTGCTTTAAGTGGTAGCTCTGTCTTTCTTAGCCCTTCCTTTTAGTCCCTTTTTCAGTTTTAAACTTTTCCATGTGAAGTTGAATTTCCACTAACAGAAGAGCTTTTAGGAAGGAAAGAAGGAAGGAATAAATGACTTCCTGTATTGATATGGAAGTTTCCTCCTCCAATCAATATATCTGTATTTGTAAGAATTATAGCAAAAGAAAGCAAAGACTACTTGAATGAGTGAAACCTGGTAAGAGGTGAAAGAGTTGACTTTTGTTTTCTCCTTCTTTCTTGTACACCTTTCAAGAGTTTTCCTTATCTAAGAGATATGTAGGCACTCTGGTAACTTAATGAGTAAAGAGTAGCATTGTTAACCCAAAGGCAAGCGGTTCAAATCCAATAGTTGCTCCACAAAAGAGAGACGGGAAATTCTTCCTGTGGAGGCTCTTTCACAGCTTCTGAAAACCTCCTCCTTGTACAATCTCTTAAAACTCACATGAGGGTCAGCTGTTTGTTGGTTCTGGGTCAACAGCACAGAACAGCAACAACAACAAAATATTTTTAGCACATTTGCAAATTAATGCCCAATGCAACATAAGAAAGCTAAGTCAAGTTTGATGATGGGTTGTAATTCCTTCTATAAGTTGAAGTGAACTGTGATAATACTATTTCTGCTCCAAGATCTGTCTTCAGTCCAAGCCATGGGCCTCTCTTTCTTTACTGGTACCAATTTCTAAGGTTGGATATTTTAAATAGTACAGTCACTAAACATTAATGGAACTCTGGTCTTTTTTCTTTCTCTTAGGTATTTATGGGCCATCGGTAAGAATGTCTGGAAGAGATGGAAGAAACGGTTTTTTGTGTTGGTGCAGGTAACTCTTCAACTCTACTATATAGTTGCTATAATCGATCAGTAACAATGATTTTATAACATTGATTAACATTTTCTGTTCAGGGATAACTTGCATAAAGGTACACAAAACTTAAGCATTTTGTTCAGTGGTTTTACATATTGTACACATATCTATATAACCACTATTTAGAGGAAGATGTAGAGGCATCAGTCCTTTGAAAAAGACATCATGCTTGGAGAGGTAAAGGGTCATCATCAAGAGAGAAGACTCTCAATGAGTGGAGTTGGACTTGAGCCTGGAGAAAGTGTGATGAGGGTACAAGATAAGGGAGAGTGTGAAGCTGCTGTTCATAAGTTCTTTATGCGTCATCGTCAACTCTGCAACAGTAACAACAACAACAAATAGGCTATTTCCTGTATCACTTACACATCTTTTCCTTTTTTAAAAAAAAATGTAAAAATATAAATTTAATACTTATTCATTCTTGGAGAGGGTGCAGACAGTGTGCTTTGTGGAGGCAAGACTGATGAGGCCTGTCCTCACGTAATTTGGCCATGTTGCTAGAAGGGGGCTATTCCTTGGAGAAGGACATGATGTTGAGAAGAGTGGAGGGTCGACGAAGGAGAGGAAGACCCTCAACCAGGTGGGTTGACAAGGTGACTGCTGCAATGGGCTCTTGGGTGTCAGGAAGTGTGAAGATTGCGCAGGATAGAGCAGGGTTCAGATCTTTTGTTCATAGGGTCGCTATGGGTTGTGTTCGACTTGAAGGCACCTACAACACCACCATTGTTGTTTCCTTCTTACAATATAGAAGTAAATCATTAAGGGTGCAGGGAGTAGACTCCCAGCCCTTCCTTGTCTCCTGGATGGAGATTGAGGAGTACCCCTAAGTGAATAAGTCTGTGCCAATTTATGGACATAGGAGTGTTGAACTTGTTTCTCAAGAAGCTGATGCTTCTGAAGGTCCTGAGGTTGTCATCATGAGAATGTCCAAACTTTGTTGACCTATTTACATCTGTGTTACTGTTTAGCATGTTTGGATTCTTAATCCTCCTCTCTTCTTGGTGCCTGGGACATCTGAACATTTTAACAAATTTTCTGTAACTACCTTTCTTTCAAGACAGAAAAACGTACGTTAATCAGAGATAATCAAGCACCACACTCTGTGCAACTTGAGTTTTTTCACCACACAAGTTATTGTGATTTGTTTTCTAAACTTGCAGGTACAGCTCTGGCTCTAACACATGCAGAGCTTTCTTTTCTGTTCAGATTTCGGGACTCCCCCAGTTTGGACTGTTATTAGCAATGCTCCAAGGAGCGCCTGTGTGTCTGTGGTTTAGACATAGACACAGATATTGACATTAATAAGACATTGTTGTTAGTTTCTGTTGAGTTAGTTCCAAATCATGGCAACCTTGAGTGTGCAGAACAGACCAGAGAAACCAATCATCAAGCCTGTCTTCAGATGCATCATTGGATGGGTTCAATCTATCATCTTTTGGCTAATAGTTGAGTGCTTACCCATTTATGCCACCTAGGGGCTCCAAAACACTTTGGAAACATTACTGTCTATTCTCATGAATGTTTCTCTCTGAAAAAACAAAACAAAAGAAAAACCCAGAAATAGTAGAGTATGTCCTGGGAAAGTTATTTTGGTTGTTTTGGAGTTTTTTGGTTTTTGCATCAGGGTTTTTCTGTTTACAAAGGAATTTTCCATTGCCTTGTATTATTAATTTCCAGGTTCTACTAGAGCATTTAAACCAAAATTCAGTTTGCAAAATATATAATTTATGCTGTACTCTGAAGAAGAACAGAAAGTGAGTCAACTTGTAGCTTATGACTAATGGTGCTTATTGGGTTACAGTGTCAGCTCTAAGCGTTAGCTTGTACTCAGAGTGCTGCCAAATTCAAGAACTTCCCTCTCAGGCACCTCCTTCCTAGGTCCCAATGACCTTGAATTCCCAACAACCTTGAGCTTCTAAGACTAGACCAATGTACATATTTGAGCATCTCTCTTGTGTTGTTAATGCCAAATGCAACTCTGGCTATATGCGGGAGGGAAAGTCTGCTGTTAGGGACCTCTCTAAAGTACTGAAGAAGAAAAAAAAAACAAAGTACTGAAGAGCAACGGTGTCTCTCTGGAGACTAAGGTGCATCTGATACAGGCCATGGTTTTTGCAATCACTTGTTAATGCATCAGAGACTTATACAATGACTAGGGAGGATAGAAGGAGAATTGATGCTTTTGAGCTGTGGTGCTCAAGAAGACTACTGAATGTATCATGGACTGCTAAGGAAACAGGTTCCTTGGAGGCAAGGATTCTGTGGCTTTGTCTGACATACTTTCGTCATGTTGTAAGGAGAGACAGGTCCTTGGAGAAGGACATCATGCTTGGGAGGGTGGAGGCCAGGCACAGGAGGGGAAGGCCCTCTAGGAGGTGGATTGATTCAGTGACTGGGGTAATCGGGATGGGTGTGTTGGAGACAGTGAGATTACCACAGGACAGAACAGAGTTTAGGGCTGTTGTACATAGGGTCGCTATGAGTCGCAAGCGACTTGACAGCACATAACAACAACAACAATCTTTGTTTCCATTGTCCTTTTAAAGAACAACAAAAATTAAAGGTAAATTACATAATCAGAAAGAAAACTTGGGAATGCTGCCCCTCAGTATAATCCTAAGCAATGAAAGGCAATTCATCCTGAAATAACTTTCTATACATTATCAACTGTCCAATGTTTATCGATCACCTGCTTTCTGTAGGGCACATGGATAGAACATAGAAAAGAACTATGAGGCTTGGTGTCTCACTTCCAGAAGAGTATTGTTTAGAGTTTGTTTTAATGAAAAACAAAGAGACACACTAAGAAAAAATGAGACAAAAGAAGAATTAAAGCCTGGGAAGCTCTGGAGGTTGATCATACAGTTTATCAAACTGCTGAATGATCATTCTCGTTAAGAAGAAGAACAAGAGCAGGATCCAAAAGGTAGGATTTCAGCCAATATCTTCAGTTTTTTAAAATAGGACAAAATTGACTCTCACCATTTTCTAGCCTTGCATCACTTCTCTCAAAGGTAAGCATCCTGGGAATGAGAACTAGATTAGTCCAGTTTGATCCTGCATCCAGCTCTTAGCAGGGGCAGATTGTGCCGTTCCAAGAGTCTCACAGAGCTGTGGATGATGGACAGACCAAAACAACTCTAAAGACAGTGCAAAGTAAAGGGAGAGAGAAGATGACAGGGCACGCCAGAAGAGGCGGTGCTGACCTGTGGCGGGTTCTCCTCATGCCATGTTTCTCAGGAATGATGGGTGGGCATCCTATCATCCCCAGTAGGTGGGGACCTAATTAAAGTGCACCTTCTGTTTCTGACTCGTTTTTATATACTTCTCCCTGATTCCCATCACCACCACACATACAGCACACCTTCATACTCCCATCCAAGCCCCAAGTCTGGCACAAGCACCAAGGGAAAATTTGTATAGGAAAGGAAGAAGCGGAAAACACACAGTGTCACTTAATGATTTCGATAATGAAGACACATGTGTCCTGAAGAGTGGTTGATGACAGCTTCTCAGAAATGGGACAAGCTGTCCTTACCCGGGATACAGAGCCCACCCCGGACAATGCCAGCCCATAATTACTCCACTCTGAGAGTTTTTAAATCACTAAGTATTTACTATAAGTCGTGTACAACTTGATGGCACTTAACAACAATAAACCACAGTTTAAGGTTCAGTCCTTGGGAAATGACATCATGCTTAGAGAAGTGGAAAGTCAGAGAAGAAAAGAAGATCCTCAACACAATGGATTGATATGGTGACTGTAGCAGTGAGCTCGAGCGTGGCTCAGTTTGTGGGGATGGTGTAGGATAGGGCAAGGCTTAGATCTGTTGTTCATAAAATTGCTGTGGGTCATAGAGAGAGCTCTGTTGGCCTAGTTTTGCTACCAAGTCAAAGGTAGGTGATTTTAATCTGCAGCCCTCAAGTCTGGTTTTAATTGTTTTTGGTCAAGCATTCTTCTAAGTCGTATAGCACTGGTCTGTCCATCTGCTGTTCAGAAGTAACTCGTGGTTGTTGTGAAACTGAACACTGTGACACTGATGTGGTGTCAAATGCGAGAATAGTTACCCATGGTGGACAGTGTTTGGTGGAGCTTCCGAGTTAAAACAAGCTTGGAAGCAGGAGTGGCAACCACTTCCAAAATGGCTTGCCTCCAGAAACTCTATGACCATGGAGAAAGGATGAAAGTTATACAAGTGTTCAGATCTTTCATTCATAGGGTCACTATGAGTCATCTACGACTCGACAGCACTTAACAACAAAAATAATAACAAGTATTTACTTAGGAGAAGAAGTTCTCCTACAATGGAGAAAAAGGTGTTCAAGAAAAAAATCAAGAGGAAATATCCATGAAGCCACATATGCTGAACTGAAAATGACAAGATGACATTTTTCAGACATTTCTCTGGTGGTTTAGTGGTAAGGAACTGTGCTGTCAAGCCAAAGGTTTGCAATTCAGATCCACCAGCTGCTCCATGGAAGGAAGATAGGCAATCTCTTCTCTTGTGATTTAATGAGCAGTCGATTCCTTTGCCTCTGTAAACCCTGCGGGTCAGCTATGGCTTGGTTCTGACTCAGTGATCCAAAACATCAACAAGAGACTGTGGCTGGTGCAAACCAATCTGCACTCCACCACTAACTGAGAAGTTAACTGTGGAAACAAATCCACCAGAGTGCATCAGACGAAAGGTCAGGTGATCTCTTTCTGGCCACAACCATCAAAATCCCTATGGAACATAATTCTATTTTGACAAACGAGTCTAAGTTGACTCAGAGACAACTGGGGGAGCGAGTGTATGCATCCCCAACTCATCTGAATTAAATAAAAGGGTGCAGCTTTCCAAAATATAGTATCTTTCCTTAGAGGGCCAGAAGAGAAGATTTGCAGAATTTCACAAGATTTTTCTGTAGCTTTTATGTATATGTGATGGTTATTAATACTAAGGAATCATTGA